ATCCAAGGCATCTACCAAGCGGCCCGTTTAGGGCGCACGTCTTGTGTCCCACAACGCATGCCTATGGCAATCTGACTGCCCTACTAGGATTCTAAGACGAAGTTATTTTGTGCGGGAGTTTGGATAAGTAAAGAAGTACCTGCCGTAGTTAGTAAATTCAGCTGTTGTTACATATATTAGTATTTTGCAGACACTTGCGTCTTTAAGCTACCAACTATTGTACTCCTTATGACTGACCTGTTTCAGCATTCATACACCTAAAGGACATTATTTAATGAGTTCACATACAAAGGGGAAACCTGAGTTCCATACGAGCATACACTCGAGATACGAACACGACGTCTCCCCATCTGCAGCAGTCATCTAACCTAGAATAAAAACCTATCATGGGCTTCAAGGACTTTTTGCATGTGATGAAAATTGGTTGTGCATTACAACAAAAGATTAAAAAGTTTATTGGTAGCGCGTAACTGAGAATCTTCGTTACGCAAAACCATGACCTGTTTCGTTTTCTATTGTGATGCACAACCGATTTTCCTCTCATTTAAAAACCCGAACAGCATCCACAGAAGGACCTTCGAACGACCACTAATAAAGATGCCTATGGTAAAATACTGGATCGCATACAAGAAATATGATGTCGAGCTGGAATCTGAAAATTAAAGCGAATAATATTCTTGTTCCAAATACATATTTCCTTCCTGACTGTCTCCTGAAACCCGCAGTTTGCTCTTACTGACTACTGCTTAACATAAAAAAAACAACTTGTGTTAACCTTGTTCTATCATGTTAGGGGGTTAGTAATCTTATTGTAAGCTCATTTTCTCCCTCTGACTGACGATTTTCAAGCGTCTTCAAGGAATGGTGCTCAACAAGTTACCATGCTAACAGAACGAAATACTGCACTTGACTTTATTACCACTGGGTTTCCTTCTCCTTGTATCCAGCTCGCCCCCTCTTGTTCTCTATTAAAAACAGATTGAGGTGATGCCAGCTCCGTTTCGGAGGCAGTTGGGCCCTCCTCAGCTAGTCAGCAGCCGACCAACAACTGTGATCCGAGACAAAAACTAGTGCGCGTGCAGGCATAACGCGTATTTTCTCTCCTTCTTTCCCTCTCTCTCGGTAAATGAGGTTAAAGTCATAGGATTGCAGCACGGTGAAGGCGAAGTACCACCGGCGTCTTCCGTGAGTCAGTCTTTTGCGGTCTGCTTCAGGTATTTGTGCACATCAAAATGAGCACGTACGCAGCAAAATAGTTCTGCTCCCCCTCGCTGACGATCGGAATCGCGAACAAGCATTCCTGCGCGTAGTCGCGAAGGCACCAGATACACACATATCAGATGTGCACACTCAAGGGCTCTGGGGGAATCAGACGGCGGCAATCTCAGCTTTATCAACCAGTCCTACCCCGAAAATACCAGATAAACTGATGATTGGAGAGTTAAACTTCTGATCGAAAGGGCGCGGGTCCGAACCTCGGGTGGTGCATCGCTTGGAATTGAGTATGACTAGCTGATGAGGGCTAATGAGTCAGAAATGGCCATTCTAGTCTCCCTTGTCTTTGTTGGCAATGCTACCTGTTATGGTTGAATAAAGCCATTGCCTATCAGGACCGCTCTCTTGTCTTCTTCTGCCTGCTAGTCGGGTCGGAATAAACTGGGCTATAACAACTGGCGACGCCGAACTAACTGGGCTATAACACTATCTAACAAGAGGTCCTTGTGTTGGATAAGTGAAGTAAGTTGCATTCCGAGATGATATGATGAAAAGAAAG